TTGAAAAAGATGTATTTTTGCTCTGGAGTGTGTTACTGAATATGTTAAAGCTGTAGTGAAATGCTTCTTCTAATCATGTAGGTATTAAAAATTAGAAAAGATTAAAAAAATATAAATAATAAAATATAAAAAAACCAAATATATATAAATGTGAAAAAAATTTGAACTAATAATCACAGAATATTATTTTTATGAAAATGCGTACTATCGCCTAAAACATCGCCTGCCTTTTCCGTCTTTTTCTCCTTTTATAAACTATCACTTTAAAAGGCATTTACACAATGGAATATTACCCACTGTAAAGAAAAATGCAATCATGAAATTTGGAGGTTGATAAAGGAACTGGAAAGATTACACTCAGTGAGACGACTCAGGCCCAGAAAGACAAACACTGTATGTTTTCTCTTGTATGTGGATTCTAGCTTCAGATCTTTTTTGTATGTTTAGCTTGGAGCACAAGTGGAAGCCAGCAAATTAGAAAGTGGTCTTTGTGGGGAAGACTTCACGCTAAGGGAGGAGGGAGGAGCAGATTACGGGTAAAACAAAAGTAGAGAGGTGCAATACCAGGGTGGAAAGGGGCAGGGAGGGAGAAAACAGGGGTGGGGAGGGCTAACCCAAAGGAAGGTGTATGAAACCTTGTATGGAAGCCTACTATCTCACAACCCAATTAAAAAAAACTGGAGGGACAGAATAAATGTGACACCAAAGAAAAGGTAGGAACAGTGCAGATTAAGGGACTAGGTGGGAATGGCAGTGGGCGGACACAGAGTAGAGGGAGCAGTGGGCTAACCCAAATTAAGGATAGAAAACCCTAATGGAAATCTACTAGTTAACCTCAAAAAGTGACTTTAAAAAAGGAAAGAAGAGTTCAAATGGAATTACCCTGCATGGTGGACAATGACTCCCAGACTACATGGGCTAGTAAATGAAAATCACAGTGCAAGGCATGAGCTACCTCCCTATGAGCAACCGGTCAGGGAGGCCACAGAGGCCTCCAAATCAACACAGGCTACTGCCATTGCCCTAGGTTGCTCTCCATAACTATAACGGTAAGGTAAGACCTTACTGTTGAATACACCACACTTTGACAGCAGGAAAAGAGAATGAAGCTCAACCCCAGGAAACTTCCCGGCAGGTCAGTTTTCACAGTACCGGATGGCATGCAGGCTGCTGGGGAAGAAAACACAGCAATGGTCTTAGCCAGCAGTGGATTCTGCATGCTGCAGTATCGACTTGACAAGCAACCTGTACCTACTGGTGCATTAGTAGCATGACTCTTACGGGGTAACTAACTGCTTTCTGATTGGATTTGAGGCTTATTCCCAAAGAGGGAATTTCATGCCTGGTACTAGAATCCTGGTGAAAAATCCTATGGTTGGGGAGGTCATAGGCCCTAGGGCAGAACCTGTTTTTGTTACTTTGCTAAATGGTCGTGCTCTCTGTTTCTACCCATAGATGTGGGTTACTCTCAGCCTTGGTCAGAGAAACATCTCTTTGCAGTGGGCAGCAGTCAATGGAGAGATACACTACTGGTCAAAGGGCTGAGAATAAGAGACTGAGTGCTCAGCCCTAAACAGGATGTCTGTATCAACCCAGCATAGCCAAAGCTCAGGGAACATCGTGGGTGAGGAGGAAGAAAGAACGTAAGAGCCAGAAAATGGGAGAAGCGTTGTGACATGCTGTCCTCTGGACATGCCATGGCTGTTGCCTTCATGAACTCAGCAGCTGTGGTCACCACACAAGACCTGGTCACCCACACAAGACCTACACAAGATCAAGCCAGTCAACATTCCAGCATGGATGGGGTAGAGGAGCTCCAGCCCTACCCCTTACTCAGGAGCTACTGGCAGTTGGTAGTTGCTGGGGGAGGAAGAATTGCCATTTTTTGAAGATGTGGCCATTGGAAGGATCCCCATGTTCCAATAGATGGTCCCACATCCATGCACATATGGGCAACACTTGAATGGATTTACCAAGCTATTAAAGGAGAGATGAAGTTGGGAGGGAGACATGGGAAGAGGCGAAGAGCGGAATGGAGCTGTAACTATGTAAAAATATGTAAATATGATCCAATTTCATTGTATTTGTATATGAAACTCTCAAGAATAAAGCAAAAAATTTCAAGGCATATTTCCAAAATGGTTATTCTAAAATTTTTAAATAATGTGTTAATTCTACCAATAAAGACTCACTTCTTCTGAAACCCATAAAACATACTACACCTACCATCATCCCTTCATTTTACAGACCCTGAAAGGAGCCACTTTAAGTGGTCTGGCTGGTCTGTGAATGGGGGGTCTACAAGTTCAGATGCTGCCTGGCATGATGCAATGGGTTCTAAGTCAGGTCTTAGGTAATAATACTCAGAGTTTACAAACAGTCCTGAAACATTAGACCTCTATTTTAAGATTTAAGTCTATTCTAAAAATCTGCACGTTTACATTATAAAAATGTCTCTTGTTCAATATAACACAGGAAGGAATAAATATAAATGATACTTTACTCATCACAAGGCACAGATTTCTCTCATAACTGAAATAACTATGTGATATAATGTATCTCCCTGGTTTAAATAAACATTACAGACATTTCTCTCTTGTAACCTGCAATATCTTGTGGCAATTTTATTAAAAAATATGGAGCGAGGGGGGCTGGAGAGACGGCTCAGCAGATTAAGAGCACTGGCTGCTCTTGCAGAGGACCTAGGTTCAATTCCCAGAACCCACATGGTGGCTAACAACCATCCATAACTACAGTTCGAGGGGATCTGACACCCTCTTCTGACCTCATGGGCATTGCATGACACGGGTGCACTTTACATACATGCAGGCAATATACTCATACACAAAAAATAAAAATAAATATGTTTTATGTAGAGAGATGTGTGGTTACTCTGGAAAATAATTTAAAAATTGAGTCTTAAGCTTAATTGTTCTCCCAGAAAAACTTCAAAATCTTTGTTTAGAACAGTGAGGCCAACTTTTTGGACTTTTAATATAATTTCATGGTAGTTCTAGAAAGATGACCAGTTCTATCCTAGGCAGCAGCACACACTACAGGACAGGGTTTAGACGGCTCCTCAGGTGTTCTTAGTGTAGTCTAACCTGGAAGGGAAAGGGTTGGACAATGAGCCATCAGCCATTTAATGCCCAGTTAACAGGGAGCAAACACATGGGACCTGGGTGAGAGATTTGAAGTAGAAAACAAAATGCACAAAGCAAATCATGTGTCATCTTCAAGGGCACCTTTCACAGAAAAGAGGGCTTAGATAACTTTGTAAAGGTTTGAGTAGCACCCAGTGACACCTGAGGAAGCAGCTAGGTTGACTCCAGACCACTCTCCACTGTGCACACATGTGCCATGAACAGAGACTGTATCCAGGTCATCCGATGAGATACTCACAGAAGGAGTGTAAGAAGGTTCCAGTATCACAGGTAAAGACATTTTCCCTTGAAGATTCAGCTTTGTTAAATAGAAAATCTTCTCCCCCACAATCTTTTCTTTCTTCGTGCGACGTACACCATACAGCCTAAACCGAACTGCATAGTTTCCAATCATCTCAGATTCGACATGGTTAAATTTAAACGTTTCTGTGAAGACAGGGCATGGCCCTCTCTGGATGCTGGTTTTGGCTCTCTGTTTCTTTATAGGTAGAAGAACAAGGTGTACTTGCCATGAGTTACCACCTGTCCTGTTATATGTTGGGATGTCTGTGACAGCTGTCACTGTTACCAGAAGCTTCTGTTCTTGTGAGTCATAGTCAAAAGTCACATCCAGGGTGCCATATTTAGCTTCTGGCTCAGGATCAAAAGGTTTAGGAAGCTGTGAGGAGGACCCTTGAGCTGACATACCCTAGGAAAAGCAAATTGAAATGTTTTAGTCTTTAACTCTACTACTTAATCTAGCATGCAAATTAGTACCCATTTCTTTGAGAGTACAATATGGAAACAATTTCATTTGCTGGCATAAAAAAAGCATTATAACTAGCAGTCAGTCAACTACAGCCAAAGGTGTTCCTATAGGGCAGAGTAATATGTGGTAAGTCTAAAAAACCTTAACAGCAACATCTTTGGAGTGTAACAGTCACTATCACAGCTTTGAGAAAGTTGGATGTATGTTTATATAAATGAGAGTTGAAAATGGGCATTTTAATGTCAGTCTCTGCTCCTGAAGGAGGAGCCTGGAGGATGTAAGAAAGTTCAATGCTACAGAAAATGTGGATCCATCAGAGTTAGCTCTAAGATGCTCCCATCTAACAAAGGATGTAAACACACTAAGACTTAAAAATTGTTGGTGGGACAAATCACTGGAAATAGGAAACAAGAGTATAAATAAAAACGGCTCAAGACACTGCCAGCCAGATTCTGGTCTCCGTGTTACAGACCATATTTATTTCAATATTCAGCCGGAATTCAAAACAATGTATTTTTCTAACATCCTCTGACATGGTGAAATACTCATTTCACAAGTTGAAGGCTGACGCCACACATGCTGATTTGACACAGGCAGAAACAGGGCCCATTTTGCCAGAGACCATCTCAAATTCCCACCAGACTAAGAGACATCTGGGAGTTTTATCTAGTTACTGACCAGGCCTAAGTCAGGCTTCTAACCTTCCAGCTACATACTTTGACCCTTCAAGTGTTTAAACAAAATTTTAATGATTTTTACTTTCAATTCTGGACCACTGGTAGAACGTTCCAAAGCTTTCTAAACTTGGATTTAGTGTCATTGTAGCAGTGAAGAGTGTTGACCTGGGTCTCCCTTCTCCCATTAGTTCAAAGAACTCCCTGAGTTTCAGCCAGTGACACCACGCCCAGAGACAGCCCTGTACCCCAGAGCCTCTCTTAGATGGACCTATGGGTGCAGCTTTAATGGATGCATGGAGAGCTTCTGTGGAACCATCTAGAGCAAGCCTGTAACAGAGAGCCTGCCCTCCACTCTCTTTCCGCACAAGCTGTCACACAGGCAGTTGTGTGGGGTCAGCTTGGACCATGAGGATGAGGACAGTGTTGTAGACAATGGCATTCATAGGAGCTGGGCCTCGAACAAGACTGTCACACAAAGCCTTGCTTATGTAGAATGTTCTTGAGTGGAAGAGAAACTGCCTTTTGTGTTTTTTAGCCAATTTTGGTTGTGGGGTACAACACCCAATGCACCCATTTTGCACTTCTATGTGAAGCCATTTAGGTTGTGGGAGAGGGCTCTTCTTTCACAAGAAAACAACAAAAAGACAGGAGTCTTTGATCTGGTAAGTCTTACGCAGTTATCGCTATCGTACTTAGAAAATAGAAACAACTGTTCATATCATTTATTGAGTTCTTTAAAAATCATCTATTTCTTTTGTGTGTATGTTGCATATGTTTAGTATATGCATGGTATGTGGGTATGCATGCCAGTGTGCACAGGTTGCTGAAGCCAGGAAAGGATGCTGGTGTCCTGTCCCATCTCTCCCTGCTTTATCCCCTTGAGAGAAGAATCTCACTGAACCTGGAGCTTAATAGTTTTTGGTTAAACTGACTGGCCAGCAAACCCCAGCGATCCTCCTGTCTCTGGCCCTTAGCACTGGGGTTACAGGTATGTGTAGCCATGGCAGCTTTTACATGCGTGCTGAGAGCTAAATACAGTTCCTCATGCTTACATAGCAAGCACTCTAACCCAGCTCAGAATTTAGAGTAACCTGTTTAAATATGTACCATTTCATAATTGTTATGTTATTAATATCTTTGGTATTTCAATTTAATATTTTTAAAAATAGAACCACAGTTTCAAAGATTTTCAGGAAATCCAAAATTTACAAGGTCCTATACAGCAATTTCTGATTTTGTTTCCAACCCCTCCATTCTAACAACTCTTAGAAATCCCACGGAGAACCTTTGCATTCAAAACTACTCTGCACTCTTAACAAAGCTGTAGGAAAACACTTCTCCTTTCAGGGTGTCAGGGCCAAAGTTCTAGGGATCCGTTGGCTAAGAGGACAACACCTGATGGGCTTGTAGGAATTTTCCATTTGAACCGTGATACATAGTCAGGGATGTAAAATAAAGTTGGAAAAACATGAATTTTATACTAGCCTAGGCTATTGGAAGTCCACATCTAAACATTTAAGTAACACATACTTGATACATTATTTGAACATATTTGATAATGCTGCTGAAGACACAAAACAAGCCAAGTGGAAGACACTCCAAAGACAACACAGACAGTAAGTACCAGCTTCTGGGACTTAGAGCTGACCTCAGATATGAGTAAGGAAGCAGCTGGAGAGACAAAGGCAGAATTGCTAAGTTAACAACCAGCAAGATATGCAAAGATTCACAGACTACAAAGAAACTGTGATGGAGGGATGGGTGTCATCCCTCAAAGAGGAAGAAAGCCCACACTGTGCCACATTGCCTCTGGGCTGTACTTAGGAAATACAGTGAAAAATATGTTACTCGGGTTAACTGGCAAGTTTCAGGTGTATTTGCCCTTAAATCTCTCTCAAAAACTAGCGTGTACTGCCAGTGTGGGTACCCTAGGTCACATCTCAACTCTGGTCCTTAGCAGGTGGTAAAAAACTGCTGGTGAGCACAGTGAGGCAGATGTATGGGCATTCCTCGAGCTGTGCTCAGTGTGGGGCTTGCCACCTACCCCTTGTGACATCCTATGCCAAGTTGTGTTAAACTACATCATTTCATTCCTTTTCCTGTTTTATATCCAAAATAGATGAAAATACACACATGCACAGACACATTTACATGCACATGCACAGACATACACACATATACACATGCACATACGAGAGAGACAGAGACAGAGACAGAGACAGAGACAGACACTAAGGCATCTGGGTGTCATCTGAATATCTGACTTTGGTCATTGAAGCCTCTGGGACAGCTCACCTAGGGTGTGTTGAGAGGACACCACTGCAAACGGCAACAAAGTAATCCCTGAGCCAACACCCCAGGCCAAGAAGGTGTGACTTAAGGTCGATATTCAGAGCACCTTTTCTGCGCTCAGATGGGCCTGGGTTGGAATATGAGTTCCACTGATTTGGAGTCACTCGCTTCTCTCTGAGGTTTAACATTGGTCACCTCCTAAAGAAGTGACTATTACAGTGAAGTGAGCTGATTGGTAAACTTCATAGCACAGCCCCCAGCACAGCTGGTATCAGCTGCTGCCCTTGTTACTTTCTAACCCAGGTGTCACTGCTACCTCGGTGGTTTCCTATACAGTCTGCAAAACCACAAAGGGGCCTCAAATTTCTTCAAGGACACTGATGACACACTGATGTATTTAACCTAAAATATCATTTTATGTTGGGGACTCCTGCTGTTTTGGGTTGTAGTCTTTCCATGTCCGGATAGCTGCATGCCGGCTCGGCATGAATGGAAGGACTCCTCTTCTCAGCAGGGCGCCCCCTGCTCTCTTCCTGACTCATCTTTGAAGTAGCCGCCACAGATACATGGCCTCTGGCATAGGAACTGCCAGGTTTTCCTGTGTGATAATCAGGCAATGTCTAGCAGCCTGATGGAAGCCCACCACCACATGTAAATGGGGCATCCTAAAAGCACCTATCAACTAAGGCTTTTGCCACTGCCCCCACAATATAAATATCCTGGTTTCTCCTTAATAAATCAGAGTTGCACCAGAAGCTGTGTCTGAAGCTGTATCATTGAATCCTGCATCTCCCTGGAGAGGGTTGTCTCTTCGTAAACGACGACTCGCGGAGATTCTGCTTTCGCCTTCTGGCATCTCCCCACGTGATCCGGCGGCCGCGGATCTGGTACCTCGAGGGAGTGCCCTGTAGTTTGGAACAGAACCCGCCGGGGTAGCTGACAACGGTCCTCTAGAGCCGCCAGCCCCGGGTAGCTGCGGAGAGCCTCAGCAACGCAGAGAAACAGGGACCCTGGGGCGGAGAGCCTGGGACCCGAACAGCAGACGCGGTGCTCGACCGACCGCACCCCAGCAGCCGGGGAGACCGGCGCCACGCCCAGCAGCTGGCGCTCTGAGATCCCTGCGAGCCCATAATTTTAGTATTTCCCTCTAGGTCAGATACTATAGTAATAACATACTGAAAAAGTAACTAAAGTGTTTTTGACAATTATAGGAGGAGAAAAACCTCCAAACTGAGGAAATTCTGCACACACCTTAATCACACCATGTACTAGAAAGCCACCTTCATTCTTCAGTCAGAAGATAAAAAACCTCACGTTCTAACAGTGAACGTACACCAGTATGACTGAATGTTATCAGGAATGAAAGTTGTAGAAGCTTGCAATGCAAAACTTGGAAAGGAAAGTGAACCCTAAAATCAACACATGAGACTTCCGGGTCACCTTTATAGCCCACATCATTACAGAATGATTAGGACAAATTCTTCTGGAAAACAACAACGTTTTGAAACTACAACGAATTTGCTATCATATTTTTTTAACTCCAGAAAGTAACAAGCACAATCAACCAGCCACTCTAAGCTCCTATTACTGTGAAAGCTCATCAGTAAAGCTGACCGCTGTTCATCCCTTTCATAGCCTATGAAATGAAAAATGGCATAGGATTAATTCAAAAGGCTTGTGGAACACTGGGTAATCCTGTAACAATAAGAATTAGTCCAAAACAAATAAAAACATGAAACCCCAAACTCAACAGGAGCGAACAAGTTGGATGCCTCCAACAACAGCCATTCCCAGCTCAGCTCCCCATCTCTCTGATGGGGGAAGGTGTGGAATGTAAGCTTCCACAACCCCAATGACCTTGTCAGATGACAGACAAGGCTATGAGACAACAACAGAGTGAGACGTTGGTAAGACCTGCTCTTGTCAAGAGGAAAAGTACAGGACCGTCAGCCTCCACGCAAGGGGCTTCCGCTTACTTCAGGGCTCAGGACCGCAGTGCTGTCACTCGGGACGTCTTCTTCATACCCTTTGTTATGAAAGCTCTCTGCTTCATGGCCTGTGCTTCCTTCACTTGGGCACTTGTTGTAGGAGCACCGTGGGCTGTTGCTGCAGTGAGAGAGCTCACACTTTCCATCCCCAATTTCAGAGGGCGTGCACGAGAGGTGGGGAGAGCCACTGTCGTCCTGGTAGGGTGGTGGCTGCAGCTCATCCAGTGGGGGCGTCCTTCTCATTCTTTGAATGCAGTTTCCTGACAAGGACAAGAGTGTGGTCACTGTTTCCAGGCAGCCTTAGTTCACAGTAACTGTAACTAGCTTTTAAAAGTAGATGAACAGTTTAACATCATAACTATTAAATTTCCTAAGTGAATTTTTTCTTTCCTTAGTCCAGGCACAGAAAGAAACTCACCTGGTTCCCTACTCCTCTCTTCCCATCCAATAAGACAGGAAAAATAAAAGCCAAATATTGTTACTTACCATAAGAACAAATCTGATGCAAATCACTTGGTTATTTGGTCTTTTATCCCCAACAATGCCAACATATATGCATCCCATCTATTCCCTTTGGTGGCCTCTCTAGACAAAGCAGTAAAGCATGGCAGGAAAGCCCTAAGAACCTCATTTACTTACCGGGGTGAATTCTCATCAGCATCCAGCTCAGTATTTTCCCACATCTACCTGGTTCCAGCATCCTAAAATGAGTCACTCTATGAGCTACATTCAATTTCTGCTTGTCAACCTCAGAGCTGGGTCTAACTCCAATGCATAGCTAAGCCTGGCCCACAACACCACCACTAACACAGTTTTGTTGACTTTTAAATTATCCTTTTATTTTTTGCCACAATAATTTGTCTCAGTGATTGAGACTAAACAAATGTTTGAACATGGTTGGGGTGTAAGGGGGACACGTAAGGAAACACATTCAGTTTACAGTTTAAATATAGTTAAGGCTGTGTAAACAGACCCAGAATGCAATATCATTCAAGTTAAGACAATGCTCCCACAGAAGGGACTCTGGAGAAGATAGTTCACAATGTAATTGTTATGGGGGTCAGCTGAATACTCAATACAGCTCTTCCTTAAGTTTTACATAAAAACTAAAAACTCCATCTTAAAGATTTCAAAAAGCCTAGTTCAAATGAAAAATAATTCGTTTCAGCTTGGCGTGAATTTATGTACTTGAACAGAAGCCCTAATTTTGAATCAAATGTCTAACCTGCTATGTCTAGTATACAAACTTTGAGAAAGTTAGTGAAATCATGCTGCTGAAGGTCAGCTAGAGAGGATGTAGTAACCATGTTGCATGTGGCAGCCAACAGACGAGACCCTTGGCATTAACCAGCCATTTGGGGTAGTCCATGTGAAGGGGACCCAAATTCCATGGCTGCACGAAGGTGCACCCCCATCCTCTCCCAAGGAGGGCTCCGGTTACACCTGGCAATGAAGTTTAAACAGAAGGTTTCCGCCTGAAGGAGTGCTTTGGTTTTCCTGATAAAAGCAAGAACACACAACTGGCTTTTCCTTCTCCTTCCTCCTGCTCAAGGTGAAACAGTCACATTGTGGCTAAGAACTGACAATTGTGTCAATGAACGGATGCAGAAGGAAGGTGGAGACAAACAGGAGAATCTGGGTACCAGAAACTTCACCTTGAACTTTGATGGCTAGAAAGACAAATTAGAAACAAAAACAAACATGACTGTTGCATTTTCCATTGTTTGCAAATACAGCTGCTATGGATACAGTTTATAAATCACTGAACACCACAGAGGAAGCCTCCAGAGATGGAACTTCATTAGCCAATGATCTAAAGTAGATAACACCCAAGTATGAAGTGGCATCCCCAATGCAGTGGCTCTGAAGCATGAGGCTTTTCAACTTTACCATTGATGAGGCAGGAAGTGATCCTTTCTAGAGGTCTCTGCACACTGTGCATGGATCCCCAGAACAGAGGCGAGTCACAGTCTACCAAACTCCCCACTGGTAGAAGAAATGGATCTCTTAACTGGCTTAATCAGAAGCCATTAAAAACGGAGGTAAGGACAGTGAGTGTCATTTATCATTTCCATGTGGAAAAAGAAGAGATGTTTGAGCAAGGCAGGGTGCAGGAAAGAGGAAGACAGGGAGGTACTGGCTGGAAAGCAAGCAATGTTCCTTATCCCTGCATTTGGCAGCTGATCTCAGTTTTCAGTTTGACTGGAGTGTCTCTCTCTCTCTCTCTCTCTCTCTCTCTCTCTCTCTCTCTCTCTCTCTCTCTCTCTCTCCCCCTCCCCCTCCCTCTCCCCCCCCCGTTGTATGAGCCCCTAATCACAGATCAAAAAGCTTCCCTCTGCAATGCCTTTTGTGAGCTTCTTAAGACAGATCTATGTCCCTGACTGCCCCCAACTTATAGCGCTCTCTCTCTCTCTCTCTCTCTCTCTCTCTCTCTCTCTCTCTCTCTCCCTCTCCCCCTCCCTCCCTCCCTCCCTCCGTCCCTCCCTCCCTCAATAGCTGTTCTGTATAACAATCCTCCTCTTCTCAATGTCCTCTTACGGTATCCAGCAGGTCTTAACTCCTGAAGTTTGTGACTCACTGACAACCAATGAGTGCACTCTGGCAGCTGAGCTTGTCACTAGGCTCTTGTTCAGAGGTACCTAACTTGCTCCAGAGATCAAGCACACAAAAAAGGCCATGATATCCAAAGATATGAAGGTCCCCCCACACTGTCCTATAGAGTTCAGAAAAACAATCCTACAGCTATGATTGGGATACACAACTTATTTTGGCCACATCATATCTCAAGGTTCTAAAAGTAATGACACCTTTACCCTAAGTGTTCCACATCTGAGAGTGAACGGTGAGAAAGTGTGTGTGGAACTAAATTGCTGCCTTTTGTGTGTGTGTGGGGGCACCTGCATACACATGTGTGCAGGTGCATGTGACCATGTGCACCCATGTGGAAGCCAGAGGAGGACAGGAGGTGTCTTCCTCAACTGCGCTCCGCCTCATTTATTGAGTCGGGTTTCTCATCAAACCTGAAGCTCACTGTTTTGGCTAGACTAGCTGGCCAGGGGCTCCCACGGTCCACCTGTCTTGACACCCAGAGCTGGGGTTACAGGTACATGCAGTCGTGCCTGGCATCTAGATGGATGCTGGGAAATTGAATTTAGGTCCCCTTACTTTCATAGCAAGCACTCTTGCCCACTAAGCCATCTCCCCAGCTCCTGAAGTCTCCTTTTAAAAACTTTTACAATAATCTCTTTATTCTAGCTGACAACTACTTCATGCTGTGTATAGTATAAATATTAAAATTGGCCTAAATTTGACACTGGAAATAATTTCAAGATACCTGTTTTTTAAAGTAGCAATCACCTATTATTAAATTACATAGTAAACATCAACATTAAGAAATTTCTAGAGGCCACTGAGATGGCTCAGCAGGTAAAGTGCTTGCAACCAATTCTGAAGATCTGAGTTCAATCCCTGGAATCGGTGGTAGAAAGAGGAATTTCTAGTGGGATCATCAAACATCAAAGCAATGATGCCTTCCCTTGCTTCAGTTCTTGCTTGACTGCCTAATTTCACGCCCTTAACATACCTTTACTTTATGGAAATGCTATACCCATAAAAATATTTATCGCCGGGCGTGGTGGCGCACGCCTTTAATCCCAGCACTTGGGAGGTAGAGGCAGGCGGATCTCTGTGAGTTCAAGGCCAGCCTGGTCTACATAGTGAGTTCCAGGACATCTGGGGCTACAGGGAGACCCTGACTCAAAAAGACCAAATATATATATTATCATGGATATATGTTAAGTATTTTAACTTACCAACAGCATGTTCACAGTGCCTACAAAACAAAGTATTTTCTTACTCTAGAAAAACTAATATGTATGCATGCATACACAGAATGTAGTCTATAGCTCCTAACCTCATAGTTCAGATACCAGTGAGAACCATAGCTCTAAAAAAGGGTAGATAGTCAACAACTACAGAATTCACTTTTAAGTACCTGTGGAAATTTGTAAAAGTTGATTATCAGCTGGTAATAAATTAAGGCTCAACATGTACTTCAAGAAGCTAAACCAAGACAAAACCAGTAAATTAAAGCCAAAATAGGAAGGATAAAATAATAAAATGCAGAAAAATAAAAATAAATTTAAAACACATATAAAATTACTACCAGAGCAAATCGGTCAGAGAGAAAAAGAGAGATGATGTCATTATTAATGTCAGAAATGAACAAGAAGACAGGATCTCAGCTCCTATAGACATTCAAAAGACAGTGAGTCTTCCCCCTGAAAACCTTGGCCCTGAGGCTGAACTAGGGGTTGGAAAGCTTCAGGACCTCAAGAAGTATGGGAGAGCCCGAGCAGATGAGGAAGAGAGCCATCTGTGCAAGTTCAGTGTGCTGTTCTGGGGCTCAGGCAATGCAAGAAGAGTATCCCTGTCCATATGGGAGCAGGGCAGCGTGGCACAGTGTCAGGGTTCAGGGAAGGGAAAGGGGCTTTCATCTCAGGGAAGAGGGCAACAGGGGTGGCCCTCCACAGCATGTTGGGGCCAAAGCAGGGTGAGAAGGACCCCCTGGAGGAAGTCAAAGCTTCAGCAGGTAAGGGGGGATCGTACACAGTGGCAGACATGTCTAGACAAGTGAAGGACTGTGTCTAGGTCGTTGGCACAGGAGCAGATGACAAGGGGAGTCAGAGCCTGACAAGAGCCTTGGAGTAGGTGACTGTGAAGGTTGTAAAAACCCAGTAATAATAGGCAAGTCCACGCAGAGAGCACCTGACCAGGAGAACATGGGCAGGGCGAGGTGGCTCAACACTGTAAGCAACTACAGGGAGGGTGCCCTGGAGGTGGTGCAGGAAGGGCAGCTGGGCCTGGACAGGGAGAGCCTTGACTATAGTGCTGAACTACAGCAAGATGTCAGCCTCCATAGGATGCGGTGAGGGGAGCTTCAACCAGAGTCCACGCTGAGGGCCACACGGGCATCTACAAGTAGGAAAGGCTGCATGGTTGGTCAGAACCCAAACATATGCGTGCAGCCAGAGGAGTCTAAGTGCAGACTGCTGATAAAATGGCAGACACTGCAAGGCTGATGTAGGCAGATTTCTCACCGTAAGAGAAAGGAGTCAGGAATACGGAAGGGAAAAGGTAGACCACCTCTGAGAAATTGGAGCAGAACTGAAGCTAGAACACACAGGTCCTATGTGAACACGGTGCAGATGTAAGCATGTGTGTGCTTACGCTTGCATATACAACCACGTGTAAACATTCT